AATATAATTTGGAGATGGGATAATTCTAATCTTTGATAATCAGTAGTTAATTGATGACGCTGCTGGTCTGCCTATAAATAGGCTGGGTTTCGACATGTTAGAGAGCCCGTTTTTTTTCCCACTCTCTTCCGCTCGCTCCAACACTGCCGGTGTGCGTCTTGACGCGGTGCGCGCACGTCTCCAGTTGCTGCAGGCCGCAGCTGATGTCTCCAGCCTGTCATGGTAGTTCTGCTAGAACTTGTTCGTTTGCTTGTTTTTTCGTTGCTATTTTGGCCTGGTGGGATCGGTAGTCCTGTTTTCTATCTTTCTTTTGCATTTGGAGTTTTTTGCTCTAGTCCGGTACTAAGTAGGGGCTTCGACGGCCCTGTATAGGGTTGGCCCCCTGCTGTACCGTTTTGTTCTGTTTAATCGACTCACCAGGTCCAACTTTCAGTTAATACTTTTGGGGTTTTGTTCTTTATTTTGGGACACGGGTAATTGAGGGTATTTAACTCTCTTTTTTCTCTTCACGGAGAATCAAAAGCAGGTGAACCAACCCAAAGGATCAGGAGAGTTTAAAAATAAAATATTTCTTTTAACCCTCAATTTTTGTCTTGTGTCCTCAAATATGTTGTGTCTTGGTGGATGTAACAATGCCCCCCAAAAAATTGAAAAAATGAAAGAAAAAAATAATTATAAGTAAAAATTAAAGCTACAAGCAGTATTGAAGGCCCACACAGCAAAGCGCTGCTCCGGCCTTACGGCGACCGCGGGAACACTGGCGACTCCGCCCAGTCACCATCGCGAATGCTCGCATGCGATTCCCGCATGCATCCACCAGGGTGCGCATATGCCGAAACTTTGCAATCACCTTCCGCTCATATCAGTATGAGTCTAGCTTCAAGCCTTACAATTTTGGCTAAAATTCAACCTTCCAGACGGGAATTATTGTCACTTCCTGTTTTGTTGCAAATGTAAAAGGACTTCCTTTAGGCTTTTCAACATATAACTGTTGGAATAATCTAGGGGGTGCACTTGAGTCAAATTTTAAAGAACAATACCAATGTGTCTATAAGTGCTCACTGATCACGCACAATAAATCTGGTACAGATTGGATGATGTCTCACTGAGATATACCTGTTGGAATAATCTAGGGAGCGTACTCGAGTCAAAGTAAAACAACAATACCGGTGTGTCTAGAAGTGCTCACTAGTGACTCACCAAAAATCTGGTTCAGATTGGATGATATATCACTGAGATATAACTTTTGGAATAATCTAGAGGGCGCACTAAAGTCAAATGTTAAATAACAACACAAATGTATATAAAAGTGTCCACTGATCACACACCAAAAATCTGGTGCAGATCGGATAATTTATCACTGAGATATAACAGTTTGAATAATGTAGGGGGCACACTGGAGTCAAAAGTAAAACAACAATACCAATGTGTCTAGAAATGCTCACAGATGACGCACCCCAAATCTGGTGCAGATAGGATGATGTATCACTGAAATATAACTGTTGGAATAATCTAGGGGGCGCAGATTGGATAATGTATCACTGAGATACAACAGTTTGAATAATGTAGGGGGCGCACTGGAGTCAAAAGTAAATCAACAATACCAATGTGTCTAGAAAGGCTCACAGATGACGCATCTAAATTCTGGTGCAGATAGGATGATGTATCACTGAGATATAACTGTTGGAATAATCTAGGGGGCGCACTAGAGTCATCTGTTAAACCACAATATCAATGTGTCTAGAAGTGCTCACTGATCACGCACAATAAATCTGGTCCAGACTGGATTATGTATCACTGAGATATAACTACAGGAATAATGTAGGTGGTGCTGTGGAGGCTATTGGCCACTAATCATGCATTCCTGTTTAAAGGGTGGATAATGATAGATCATAGTGATTTTGGTGCACCTCGGCTCAAATCTGTGCAATTTAGAGCCAAACATATTGCAACGGCGTCACTTCTTAATTTGTCACGCCGCCATGCCCACATGATGATGTCAAAATATGACCACAGTGGATCGTCCGGCATCCAACAGGCCTGAGTCATGCCAAGTTTTGTGCATTTTGGTCTTTCAATGTGAAAGTTACAGAATTTGTAAATTTATGGCATGAAGCGCAACTTTGAGGCCTGGCCATGCCCCTTTAACATATACGAAACCGAAAGCTTTTGATAACTTTTACTCCCAATGTGTTAAGGGCATATCACCCAAGTTTGAAGGCACTCACTCAAAATTCGTAGGAGGAGTTTGTTAAAATTTGCCATTAGAAACACCCAAAAATGGCCCTTTGATCCAAAATGGCCGACTTCCTGTTTAGTTTGGACCAGGGCTCCAAGAGACTTTTTCATAGGTCCTGAGAAGATACAGATGTTCACTGAGTTTGAGAATTATCGGTCAAAAAATGGCTTGGGGCTGAGGTTTTAAAATATTCTAGGGGGCGCTGTGGAGGCTATCGGCCAATTATCAGGGATTCCTGTTCAAGGGTGGATAATGATTGATCTTACTGATTTTGGTGCACCTCGGTTCAAATCTGTGGAATTTAGAGCCAAATGTATGGCAACGGTGTTACGTCTTATTTCGCCACGTTGCGACGCCCACATGCTCAACTCAAAACTGTCAGTGTTGGAAATCAAGTTACACCAACATGTCTTCGGTCAATGGACACACTATCATGCTGCTCAGGTAACAGGGGTCAGATAGGGATCGTTCAACGTAAAACTTTATACTTCCTGTTGTCAGGGGGCATGGTTTAAGTGATGTCATGATTTGACCATTCAGTCTTGCAGGGGACTGGATGTGGATCAGTCACTGAAGGTTTGATGTCTCAAACAGTTTTCCTGTAGGAGCTATTAGCATTTAGTTTTTCATGGCGAGATGTCAAACTTTAAGGTCTGGCCCCACCCCTTCAGCATGCTCTGAAATGAACCGTTTAGATAATTTTGCGTCCCCCATGCCTTTTGACCAAAATGGCCAAGTTTGAAACCGATTGAGCGAAATCCCTAGGAGGAGTTTGTTCAAATGCAGAGACTGTAAACAGCCAAAAAGGTGTGAAAATTGGGCCAGTATTCCAAATGGCCACCTTCCTGTTTATCGTACAACGTTGGTGCCAGAGGGTTTTCTGTGCATCTTGGGGAATTGGACTAGCATACCAAATTTCATGTTTCTACAACAAACTAAGGTTTATGCGGAGGGTATTTAGAAAATTTCTAGGTGGCGCTCTTGAGCTGTTTCTGTTGCGTTTTTTGCCACACCCTTAAAATACGTAATTTTTCACCAGTCCTGATGCATCTGCCAAATTTGGTGACTTTTGGAATATGCTAAGGCCCCCAAAACGCCAATTCATTTGGCGGAAAAAATTGCATCTCGGGCCTGAACAGAGCTATTACAATAGGCTCGGGCCTAAAAATTTAAATTAAAAAACAGGAGAGGAAGTCTACTGAAAATTGTCTCCACTCCATCACAGAGACAGAGACGAACAAGCCTAAAACCATTCACACTCTCCCCCACACTTATGGACAATATTATAGGTACCAATTAACCTAACATGGCGGTTTCTAGTATTCATTCAACCTTTATTTCAGAGTCAGCGTCAAAGATTCTTTATTGTCGTTCGCGCCACATATGGTACATGTGGGGGAGGGGGGGGGGTGTGGGTGAGCATCAGATTACATGTTCTCTAGGTGAATTCAGATAAGGTGGCCTTCAAGGCCAGCCAGAGAAACCAAATTCAGATAAACACCAAGTTGTTTTGGGGACAGGCAGAACTTAATGACATCTACCTTGAGTCGATGTTGGTCCAAACCGTTTCAAAATGTCTAAATTACATGGCCACACCGATGGAGTGTGTGTGAGTAAAATCCCTGAGATATGATCTATTCTGCCCAAAGCATTTGAGTCTGGGTCCTCGAGGCACGAACCAAGCCATCATAAAGGCAAGCAGCGTGATCGGGTTCCAATTTGCTGCCGACGACTTCCTTGATTTTAGATAAACCAGCAACCAGCCGAATCCAAAAAGCAGGAACCAGTTATTGTAAATCCAATTAAATATGCGTCCTTAAAATCCACAAATGGCAGCAGATAGACACATCTGTAAGTATTCAAGTTGATGAGATATCCAGCTGTGTGCATGCCAACAGGGCAATCGGCCTAAAGCCTGTCTTCTCTTCAAAGAAATGTTATTAATTGTGTTGAGGGACCAACTGGTCAAATCAAGTCTGTAATTATGGTTCAGAAGATATGCTAGAGAGTATCCTGATGCATGCTCAATAATCCAGGTAGAAAAATCTAAAAAAGTTAAATCTGGTCATTCAAAAAAAACCCAAAAAAAAAACAAAAAACAAAACAAACAAAAATCAAAACAGGCTAGAGAGGCTCAGAAAAAGTTTCACAGACAGACAGAGCAGCTAAGCAAAGCGGAGAGGGAGAGAAAGGGAAAAGCGTCCGACCTTGGCAAGAGGTATATTGGAGGAAACCAGAGTATCTGAAGAAAACCCACATGTGCACAAGGAGA